GGTTACAGAGCCTGAATCCTGCAGCATGTGATTTCCTTCAGTTTTTTTTGGCTTTTGTCAGCTTTTCTAAGCACCTCATCCTGCTGCATTCCCCCTGTGCATTTTAGCAGATCAGTAAATTCAAAAATACCTTAAAATGCCTTGAGTTTTGACAGTTTTGTTTTAACGAACACCAGAAAGGGCAGGGAAAAAAAGAGAACTATGACACCGATGTGACTCCATCCCCACATGACCTTGCACACTGGCACAGACACCTTCAGTTCCTCCTGCACATCTGTCTTCCACAGGGGATACCATTTGCAGTACAAACCTTCACGGCCCACCGCCGTAGCAGGTGCTAACATGAAGACCGTCCTCCCGAGACACCACCTGCCAGAAACACAACCTCCCAGGAAATTGTCTGCTACAGCTGTGAGTCTGCAGCATTACTGAGACCTTTGTGCAGCAAGGAAATCCTTCAGAGGCACTTCCTTGGCCACCCCTGTCTGGAAAACTCAAGTTTTAGCAACAACTTTGCTACTCCAAAACATTATGGAAGTTGCCACCAGCCAAAAATATCCTTGTGACACACCTGAGAGATGCGGTGATGCCCCTACCCTCTCCGATGTGCCCTTTTCCCACAAGTGGGCACATTACTCCTCCTTGCACATTGCTGTTCACGGCAGAGATGGGCAGAAAAGGCTGCCCCCAATCTGGGAGAACATCTCTAGCTGCATCCTGGCCAGCTCAGCCCAGGGACACAGTCCATAGCCACAGAATGGGAACATGGTGACCATTCCTCTCACTTGCCATGACAAGCCCTACAGAAAGGCTGAGTAAGTTATGCAAGGGTTGCATACGACAACTCCAACCACCACGGCTTGCCCTCGCCCTCCCCAAGGCCCTAGCAGAGCCACAGCAGCTGCAGGCCAGGCCGTTGCCCTTGATCAGACCCCTGCACAGGGACAGGCTTCGTCGGTCGTGGCAGCTAACCACCAGGGACAGCCGCGGTGCTCACGTTTCTTGGTCGCCGCGGTGCAGAACCTTCCAGAAGGCGCCTCGCGCCTCCCTCCCACCGCGGCGCTAGCCTGGC